GCCTCAGCTTCCTTTTGCCGCTAGTAGCTAGCTCTAGTTGCTGGGGGTCGCTAATGTGACCCCAGAGCAGAGTAGTGTTAGAAGGATCCAGAATATTGTACGTTTCTACTACTTTGTAGCAAAAATAGATGGGAGCTTCAATTGTCCAGGAAATCCCACCTTCGGAGACGCATTCACCTCTGGCAAAGATCAGAAAACATGGTTTGAAATCATATTCTTCTTTCGTACTTTCCATGTCTGAACTAGTTTAAGGATATAGCTGGGGGGTGGGGAATGTGGGGTCTCTTGCCCGTGCACTGCAGAAGTGTGGGGCTGTGAGGGTGGGACGCTTCTCCTGGGTGTCAGGGCTCAATTGCTTTGGCACTGGAGAAACCCTCCCACATCTTGGAGAACAGTCAAATGGCTGAAGTTCCACATGGTAATGATAAAACAGAGAGCAAGAAGGGCTGGAGAAGCAAATACTTTTCCTTCAAATTCATTCATTTGTCACTAAAACAGCAGAAAACTCCAGACCAATCATCCCAGCTTCCCAAAAGGGAGTGGGAAAGAGATTGTCAAAATTTTCCAAAGTATAAAGGAACCATCCTCTGCCCAGTATATCTTGGGTGATATGAGTTGACTTATTCCTGTCTATGTGCACAGACACACACATACACACACCTCAATACAAAAGAGTGTCTCTACAATTCTCCAGCTGAACAGTGGAACTCATTGAAAAGTGGATCTCTTTACAGTCAGATAGGTATGATAGAAATAGGAAGCGCTCCAAGATAGTTAAAATAAAAAAGTAATTATTTGAGAATTAGAAAAGGGTTCCATAGTGGAGTTTGAAAGGATAAATAGAAGCCTACAAAGCTGGCATGTAGTATCTATATGAATCAGTGAAGAACATAGCCCTGCAACCCAGTTACTGCTTCTCCTGTTGGGGAAGGGGGAGCCAGGTGAAAAACAAGTGACTTTTTAATTTTGTTGGAAATCAGGAATGGATTATTTAAAAAAAAAAAAAAAAGACAGAACAAAAATGAAAAATGTATTTTATATAAGACCTCTTGTTGAGCTGCAGTTGGGTAAAAACTGAAAGTTTCCATCAATGTTTGTTTTGGTTTCTGAGTGAGCAGATGGCTCATGGGATAATCAGATTTCTGTACATGCCCAATTTCTTTCCACATGCCTGGACTTTCTCTTGTAAGTCTAAGTAGATGCTTCTCTGCTTTCTTTACCAAATTGCCTCCAAATCTGGCCCAAACCTTTTAAAGTCTTAAAGAAAAACAGTGAGGATTTATACCTTCCAGAAAATTTCTACCAGGTTTTTAGAATGCAATATTATGAAAAACATCATCATGTACATTTTAATGCACCAAATGTATACCTTATAGCTGTAATATATGTGCATGTGCATCCCTCTCCGTCACGTGACACTTCTAAGAGACAGGATGGTTTTGAAAGTTAGTTGATGGAATCAGCTTTGGGTGCTGGATGGCACAGGTAGCACTCATTGCAACCCCACTGCTGTACAAAAATAGTGGTGAATTTGAGGCTGGACATACGCTTGTTGGAGCATATGTCAGCTGAGGATTTTTCTGGGTGTGCTCTAGGCTCTGGTTTCATTCTGCCGTTGACTGAGGTCCAGCAGGCAGCCTTTGGGTCTGCTAAAGTCCTGTTCTACCTACTTCAGCTCTGCCCGAGCAATGCTCACATGCAGCCGCTGCCCGCTGCCAGCGCGGGTGAAGATCCCTCTGACCTGACTGAAAAATGGGTTAGACTTGTGACGTTACAACGTGAGTATGACAAATGCTAGAAAATTTCTGACACGCAAATTTAGCCATATGAAGGAAGACCTGAATCACAAATGGGGTTCTGTGTGCCCATGACAGGGAGTATCCTGTAATTAAAGGATAATTAACTGGAGAAATGTAATATCAGCAAAGATCTGTATGTGTCCCTGGGGGAAATTTGTCTTTCTCCTCTGTCTGAAGCAGTGTTAGGTGACTTCTACAGTTTGAAAGATGTGTTATGGGTTTTGCTCCTGTCAGTGACCTACTGTGTTTATTTTTCCCATCTAAGCATTTCATTTATCTACAACCATCTCTGTAAATGAGTCCTTCTCCCATGTGTGCATGAGCTTTTTCACACAAAGATTTCGTGTACACACATGGGGGAAAAAAAACGCCCAAGTGCAGTGTTCAGAAGTCCCTGCATAAGGTTTTCAGAAGTTTCAAGAAACTTCCTATCTACAGAAATTGAAGCTGTTGATAAAATTCCCTCTGTAACATGACCAAGTCATGCCACAGAGAGTAATTGCACATGTTTTGAAGCCCAGTTTCAGAGGGTTGTACACTTAGTAGTCGGTTTAAGCTGCAACAGCACACAAGGTGTTTTTTCCATCTGAGCTTCACCCCGCCAGGGAGACAACACACTTTGGCTAGCTAGAGCTGTCCGGTGCAGTCACCAGTGATCAACGTGGGCTCCTATACTTACATTTTTGCTTGAGATAAAGTTATCTTGTCCTCGCTGTCAGAAAGAGTTTCTCCTTTCTTGATCCGGCACCATGTGCTCTTGACTCGCACCAGCTGGAAGTCTGTCTGCTGGGGGTCCTGGTGCACAGTGGCCAGGGCTGCTGGAGCAAAGGCTTCTTTTGACACTGGCATACTTCCAGAAGGTAAAATCTCCCTGTTAAGAAATATCCTGTAACTGGGTGCCCTTGAGGTGCTTTTTAAATGCTTGAGGTGACCAGGCTTTGAAAGGGGAGGTCTTGTCTCCACGGGGGAGACCAATTACAAAACTAAGATTATCTAATCTGGGATGCACATTAAGGTTAGTAGGAGCATTTGAACACACGTGCAAGTACCAGGATGGGGTTGTATAATCAGCTAGTTTTATAATGCTTAAGAAGTACAATACAAGTTCATACCTTAACTTCCAACATGATGCCCTACAGCAAATTTAAAGTTATGAAAGGCAATTTGTGTGATTCTCCATGATGTTCAGGAACCTCCTTTGCTATGTGGAGCCTCTGATCTGGCTGTGGTTCTAACCCACCCTGATGGGGTGAGAGAGGAGCGGGAGCATGGGGAGGGGATTGATACCATCTGGTTAAACCTCCTGAGCTCACATTCCCAGGTTTCTCTTGTGTTGAGGAGAAGAATGTGGTTTTTTGTCATTTTTAGCTTTTATGGTGGGCTTAAAAAACCATAATCAGAGAGAGTTTATCTCCTGAAAGGCTGTTTGGGGGATGAGCTGAATTTTGATTTGCTTGCCCAGCTGTCTGTGGGACTGAGATGCTGAGGTTTCCCTGTGGTGGAGTCACTTCAGGATCAGCAGTGTGGTCCAGATTGCTTTTTGAATCCCATGCTTTCCTGCAGTTGTCACCTGTTTGTCTTATTAAGACTATGACAGATCCCTGCCACATACTCGGGGAGACTCTACCTCCCGGACCCAAAAGCATGTTGATCCTGTGGGATGGCTCAGCCAGAGGGATCAATTCCCCTTCTCTAGGATCTGATGGTGTGGTGGGGGCTGGCGAGGGGCCAGTGCTTCTAGTGGTGGTGGCCAGCACACGTGTCTGAGGGATGCACAACTCACCTTTCCATATGATCTTCCAGGTGCTCTTTCGGAGGGCCCCGGGCTCAGCTTGCCGCACCAAACATTCCCTTGGCATCCAGCTCTGTGTGCTGAGCACAGGGGAAGATCTTCCTCTGATCCCTTCTGATTTCACCAGCAGTGCCTGAAGGTACAAACCTGTCGTTGCCTCCTTCTTGGCCACGTTTCTGGAAGCTGTCCTTGTTCAGAAACAAAGATCAAGAAAACCAAAAACAGGTGTAAAAGCAGAGGCTGGAAAAAACGGTTCTTCAAGAGCCCATCAGGCAAGACCACTTCATTGCATTAAAGGCTTAATTGCAGCCAAACTCACTTAAGAGCCTACATTTCCCTCAAAATTATTTTTTTGGGAAAAAGCTACAAGAATAAACTCTAAAGCCCTGTAGCCCTGATCCAGGAAGGGTAATAACTCCTAATATCTAGTTCTCAGTGCTGGCTTCATCTCTGGATGGCAAAGCACTTTGCAAAGAGGACAGACTGTTACCCCCATTTCACAGAATAGGAAAATAGAGTCACCAGAAGAAAAGCAACTTGCCCAAAGTCACCTCCAAAGCTCGTGGGGGGTGGATTAGGTGGCATACTAAAGCTCTTGGTCTGTTTACCAAATACACATCTGAAATTTTAACTCCCAATCCAAACACAATTTGGATTGCTTTCCACAGGGACTGCAGGTCTAATGCAGCTTGTTGTTTACTAAATCATAAGATGGAATAATCTTAGGTATGCAAGGAGGTCTGTCCTCTCTGTCTTGTTTATTTGTTTTGATTAATAGCGATCCACTGAGCATTGGAACTTATTTTATTTGCTTTTCTTTTACTCTTTTGTCCTGTTCATTTACTTATTTTGCGTTTATACTTCCCTGATGTGTTCTGGGGGCATTGAAATGTCTTCTATTTCAGTTTAGAAGCTGGCAAATTGACTTTCCAATGTCCAACTGCTTGCCATAGCCAATAACTGCCATGTCCTTGTACCATCTGCCCTGCAGAAGGGCTTCAAAGAGCCTTGCAGCAAAGACCTGCTCCCCACAGCCTTTTCACGTCCTCTGCCCAGCCCCAGGCTCCAGACCCCAGAGCAGGAGGTGCTCCTGCCTTTGGCTGTGTGGGGCAGCAGTGACCTCGTACCTATGGACCACTTGTAGATAATCTGGGGTTCAAAGCCCTGGGACATTTTCGGCCTCATAGCTGATGGTTTAGCTGGGACACATGTCTGTGCTATGTAACCAGAAGGTTATGAAACTGCCAATTATCTCCTTGAGATCCAGCAGCTTCCCGAGGTCAGGACGTGAACACTGCTCTTACATAAAGTGAAGGCATTGAAAGTCAGCTTTTTTTTTTTTTTTTTTTTTTTTTTTTTTTTTTTTTTTTTTTGTGTTGTTTCCATGTCAGATGCTGTTGGATCTCACCCGCTGCCCGTGCTCTGGGTGGGGACAGGTGGGTGCAGCCCCAGCCCGGGGCCATCTTCCCTGCGCAGCCTCTGCCCAGGGCTGGGGCTCTGCCCAGGTGATCTCAGGTGAAGAAGCCCATCCCCTCGATGGACATGGACATCTGAGCACCGACGTGCTGCTCTGCAGAGGCAGCAAACCCACAGCAGCATCCTCGGAGGCCGGGGGACAAGAAGCAACATGCATAATCCAGCAGGTAAACTCCCTGTGTGGGGTGGGGGGAGCTCCAGGAGAGGTGGTGTGACAGGAGGGGACTCTGTGTGTTGTCCCAGTCCTGGGTCCCCCACTGCCCCACAGAGATGTGACCTACAGGCTCTGTGACTTGGCAGAAAGGAGCAGAGGAAAGGTTTATTGGGGAGAGGAGTTTGAGGCTGAGCAGAGGAGATGGGTCTGCAGGAACCTGAAGTGGAGGGAGAGGGATGCTCCCAGCAGAAAGGGAGGGGTGGGGAGGTGGACACTCACAGTGCCAAGAGAGCTTTGTCTGTGACTAATTTCTGAATGGATTGGGATGCTTGTTTTAGAAATACTTTTTTTCTGCAGCTTTAACATTGCCTCTGTGCTTTCTGTGATAGCCACATGTGCCTGGTGTCACACACAGCAAGATGTTTGCTGCTTTTTTTGCCTGTTTTCTAAAATCATCAGCCGCATGTGGGAATCCAGACTGCTCTGAACCAAGAGACTTTGTTCTCTTACAACCTGATCTAAAGCCCTTTAAAGCAATTGAAAGGCTCCCTTTGACTGCCTTGGGCTTTGGATCCTACTGTCAGTGGGTACTGCTTATTCCTGCCATACTCAGCATCCTTCATTATGTATGAAAATAAAAGTATGTTTTGCATACTCTCTTCTGGTGACTCCAGAGCCTCCCTAATGTAAACAGAGGAGCGCTGGGGAGCATCCAGCTTTTTTACTTCTTTTCCAGCAGCAGAGCCTGTAGAAAATGCATTAACCAGCATTAGTTTTCCTCACCTTCCCCTGAAGTTCAGGCAGATTTTAGCACCCCGGTTCCTGACATGAGCAGCAGATTCCCCACCCTGGCTGCTTCCTCTCCCTCCTCCTTGTGCTCCCATTCCATCCCAAAACTGCTCTCTCCCCCCTTGACATTGCTGCTGACTTTGCTGCACGCTCAGGCACTAACGATGCTGAGATCAAGCTGATCAATTAAGCTGAACCTGGCTGGTTCCACTCATGCCCCCCTGCAATGTTTAATGGCCAGGCAGTTGAGTTTGGCCCATGCCACCAGCCCACTCCTGGCCACACACGGGCTGTGACATGTCTGTGCCCGGGTGCATGGCCCTGCCCAGGCTCATGGGTGGTGGATTTGGAGCCACTGAGCAGCCTCATGTGTGCCACAATCACACTCCTGCTTTCCTCTGCTACAGCTCCATCCATAGAATGGGCAGACATCACAGCTGGGTTTAATGCACTGGGTCAAGCAGTAGTATAGGGTCTCTTAGGAGGCTGCAGTTTTGTGTTCAGGGTTCTGGTGGGATGAGGGCATAGTTCAAGCATTGCATTGTGATTTCCATAAACAGGATTGCCTGGTAAAATGCAATGACTGAGGTGTATTTACACTCCCAGATGAAGTGGTGAGTGTTGTGATAAGCTGTTGTCGATGCCTGAGGTGCCTTGGTGAATATGATGGCTGGAACAGTTTGGGAATATTTTATCAGACCAGATTTCCAAGTGTTTAACACTGAGCAGCTCCTGCCGATGTGCTGGGCACCCGTCTGGCAGCACGGTGTTCGGGTGGATCATGTTTAATGCTTTTCCCTGGCAGGGAAGGGGACCTCTCCTGGAAGTCATTGCTGGGGCTGCAAAACAGATTTAGAGGTTGGAAGGTGAAATGAGGATAACCCAAAAACGGGAACCAAAGATCCTGTCTGGCATTTTTGCTTTGTTTTTTGCTAAAACAAAACTGACTTCTTCTGTGCTTGTCTCCACATCTTCTCCTGAGCAGCCCCCTGCAAACATTGCAGTGTCTCCCCTTTCCTGGCTGAGATCCCCCCCAAAAAAGTGCCATCTAAGACCAAGCTGTAGAGTTTAATTTCGCTTCTGGAGCAGCATGTCCCTTCATGATGCTGCACTGCCTGCCTGCTCAGGGGGATGCTAATATCCCCCGCATACAGCCCCACCTGCACCCCTGACTCCTCCTGACTTGAACAAAAAGTGCCTGATTCTGGAAAAAAATAGAAACTGCAGGCTATTATTCAGTTTTGTTGTAAAACAGTCTGGCTGTGCTCTCAGCATCTACCGAGGTTTCCAGGTCTCAGCTGGGAATGATCCTGTTGGCAATTGTGGTCCATTTTAAGAACTGCCACCTTATCTTTTTTTTCTGAGGCTGCTGGAGGCTTAAAGCAGCCCTTTTCTGCTCTTTCATGGTAGGGCTTGAACTCCTCTGCTTCACACCTGGCAGAATTTTCCTCCTCTGAGTGAGCCTTTATTTATTTATTTTTTTTCCCCACTTGTATATGTGATAATGAAAAGATAATGCACAACTAGATGGGAAAGGGAAAGAGATGTCTGTACATAGATAGAGCTGTGGGGAGGCAACCAGGCAATCTCAGTGCTTAATACAGTCCAGCAGCTTTGCTGGAGTTATGCAAATCTATGCAATAAAATGAAGCACTTTTCCTGGAGTAACATAACCCCCGCCTAGTTACATAAATTTTGGCTCACCTTAGTACTCAGAGCCTTGAGCACAGCCCTGAGCTCTGCTCTGACTTGTCGGGTGCTTGTATAAATGAAGGCAATTCTGACATCTGCTGTCGGCCCAAAGCATCATCAGGCTGTAAAAAAATGCAACACTTGCTGAAAAGATTGCATAAGCTTAGATATAGAGCTGATCTTGGCATGCACTGCCTGCTCCCTCTCCCTGGTAGCACTTCTTGGCATTTGAGGTTGGTGTTATAACACAGGTTACAAAACAGCTGGAGGTAAATTGTTTTTTCTTCTCCCTTGAGTAATACAGGGGATGCTTATCTGTTACTCATCTAGAAGAGTAACATGATGATTACTAAAACCCAACGTGGATTATAAATATGTTTTTTTCCCCTAAATTAACAAAAAGTCTCTGAGTATTTGGTAAAACAGATCCTGATCTTCAGCATCCTGCAGCCATACAGCAGGAGCCTGGAGATGCTCGCTCATGTGGTGGTGAAAACAGTGAGAAAAGACAATGTGTCCTCACACGAAATGTAGCTGGGCTGAGGTCAACAAACTAACATGGTCTGGGAAGAGGGTGGTTATTCCTGCACTTGCAAGTAACTATAAAACTGCTTAAAGATATCTAACCTGCCCCTGATGGCAAGAGATTGCCATGAGATGTAAATCAGGGGCTTCTATAGCTAGCCTAATACGTCAGGTTGGGCTGCTGCCATGAGCACGCTGTTGTTTAGATGACCAGTAAGTCTGGTCCAGGTTGGCAATTCCCATGCAAAATGCACATATATTTTACGTTCCTTGTCTGCTTTCATTTTTTTTTTTTTTTTTTTTTATAATTTGGATAATGAAAATTGGTGAAGTCTCAAAAAACAACAGAGTTATCATCTTAGTACCAACAGACAGCTGAGAACTGATGCTCTGAGAAGCAGACTTTTGGAGAGGTTTAGACCTTTCCCTGTTCCCAAAGACATGAGTTTATTCATATGATGCCCCTTGGCATCAGGGAAAGGACAGGTTCCCAGCATCTGGAAGTCCTGGTGCTCTTTTGGTGAGGGGGTCATCTACTGGACCTCCATTCATCTTGATGTGCTGGGGGGGTTGTAGAAAGAGACACTCATAGTGGTCACGTTCACAATAAGGCTCAACTATTCTCACATCCTGCGTTCAGGATATGTAGTTGCTCAGTGTATCCACCTCAGATTTATCCCTTGAAATGCTCAGATAGAGAAGACATTAAAAAAACCAGACACCCTCATGACATGCTAGCAGTTGGCTTAGATGCTGACACGAGGCCACCACCAAGGCTGGGTTAGAACAGCCATACAACCCAGGGTTTGGAGAATATATCCAAGGTGGCACTCTAAGGAGATAGGAAAGAAATGGAGAACAGAGAAGTCAGAATCATGTATGTATCTCCACTTTGCAGTTTGTTCCTTTAATGATCTGATTAAAAGCTATTCCTAAAATATGCTGTTGCATTTGCCTTCATACAATCTTTCTCAACAGTGGGCTACAGGGGAGTTACTTATATGAGGTGATTCTCAGTGGCTTCATACTGAAGTTCTGTCCACAGGCCATGGAGCTGCTGGATGCCTTCTACGATGTCCAAGACTCCACCAGAAACCTGTCTTGGGATGAGGACATGGTGCCTGCAGCAATTGCAGTTCCACGTGGACAGGGCTTTGCCCTGTGGTTTCTGGGCTGGTCCAGGCCAGTCCTCCAGAGGAAGCGTGTCCTCTTTTCACCTGCTTCTTTTAGTTGTCTGTAGCTTTTCTATCATATGAAATAAAGTTGTGCCAGGGGCAATCTGCTCCACCCCAGTTATACTCACAGCCTGCTTGCCCTGTGTCTCTGAAATCTGGTCTCACCCATGCTTTCATAACCCAGCGCGTGATCTTACACTTGAGGAGTGGGGAAGTTTTTCTGAACTATGTCTCACTCTGTGGGGCCATAGCTTGCTGAGGTCCATCACTGCATTGCTGCCATGTGGGTTTCCTGGGGTCTCAGGGCAAGTACAGTGGCCATGGGCAGCATCATTTTTGCCCCCAGGGCAGGGTGATCTTGATCCTAGAGACATTTCTGCAGCCTTTGGAACACTGATACGTTATTGTGTTGTGCATAACTGTTTCTCTTTTACTGACTATTCAGCTTTTGGCAGGATCTGGCTTGTAAAAGGGTGCTGGGAGACTTGCCATGTGGTGCTGATGGGTTCAAGCATAGTTATTTTTTGTGACCTGAGAAACAGAAAGTTCAGCATGGTGCATCACCACTGTGAGCTGGTTGAAGGCAGAAGATTGTGGCAGGTTGAAGGCAGAAGAAGGGTTAGGAGATTGTGTTCCTGCCAGGGTGATTGTTACATTGCCTGCTTAAAATCATTAGTTAAAGAGTATCTTTGATTTTATGCCGTTATGGATTTGGCACAATATGTTTTTTGAGCATTTGTCAGTTGGGCTGTGTTGGGACAGGTGTAGTTGTATTTTAGGCATGAGCATCACGGGTTTCTCTGCAGACTCTGTGCACAGCAGCCTCCATGCCATGAACACGTGTCGGGGGCACTCTTGCACCCCATTGATACTCAGGTAGTGGAGATCCTCCTTGTTACAAAGCTAGACCCCGTGCCTGCATGTCCTGAGAGGAACTGTCTGGCTTTGCAAGAGTGGTTTGAGAAATGCTCTGTTTTCTCCAAGGAAAAACTAGCTAGAGGAGTGGAGTTCATATGCAGTTGGTTGGTGTTTAATGTTTGTCTCAGAGCTTCAAATGTGAAAATCAATGTTTTTTGAAATATCCTTTTCTTCTCAGAAAAGAATCAGCTGTAAGGGGAAAAAAGGGAGAATTCATGTGACAAAAATGAGTTAAAAGTATAATATCTTTTCAGTTTTAAAAGGTTTCCATTATTGTTTTCATGGTCCTTAAAAAACTTGTATTTTGTATGAAAAAAAAAAAAAAGCACTTGTTTTTTGCAATCTAGATTCCTCTTCTGCTAATTTGAGTAGTTACAAAATCATTGTTCTTCCCTTTATTTTCCATTTCAGAAACCCCAGCTGGACTCATTGCTGAGAACCTTCTCAAAGCCAAAGAAATAGCCCTCAATGACTCTCATGTTCCTGAACAGCTCAAGAATTACTTACAAAAAGCTCTTGATGTTGCTCTTGGACTAGACCCTTACCTGGATGCAATGGCAACTTCAGAGAGGTATGTATGCTCCTTTGTAACCTCATGCTTTTTTTCTGTGATTGTATGAATATGTTCTTAGATTTTTTGTTCAGAATATGTCATAATTGTGGGGGACAGTGGAAAGAAAAAGAATGAGATTTAATTGCACCCAAAAATATAGCAAAGTGTTCATGGATGTGTGTGTGCCTATGTATGCCTATGGCCTTGAGGAGTGGAGGTGAGAACAAAAAATTCTAACTCTAAATTTTGGAAAGTATTCTACCAATTGACTATTGAGTATGGCAGTGTCTGTGTTGGACCATATCCTGTGAAAAATCAGCATGCCAGCCTCTACACAGTGCCTGCTGAAAGGCTCAGGGAATGAGCCCCTGGATCATATTGGTGCTGGGATAAATAAAGAATGAAGAAAACCTGCACCTCTGGATCCACCCTATAATAACAGCCTTTATATGCAGCTTTTATCTCCAAGTGCTTAACAAACATTAATTAATCTGCTAACTAAATTACTCTAGTAGCTAAACTAATTAATTAAACTAATTTAAGGTATCATTAATTCAGAAGTCCAACTGATACCCTCATTATTCTTTTTTGAGCTACAGTATATTACCCAGCCATGTGGGGTCTGCTAAATAATTCCCATTTATCAGCGTACATTTTGATATGTGGAAAAAGCCAGTTCTGTCTAAAACTGACAATGTGTAAACTGTTCCAGGCTGTGGATTACGGGAACGCTGAGCGTTCGTTCTGTTGCTGAAATAATAGCTGATAGTTGTTTGACTTACGCTTGCTGTACGATAATAGCTATACATTATCTTATTAAAGTTGTTAAAGCATTTGTGAGGGGCAGAAAAGAGGTTATATGAAATGTTCTACTATTTAAATCTTGGATTATCTGAGTGTGGCTGACACGGGTTATGAATTCTTTCTCATTTTACTGAGGAGTGGAGGGGAGCTGGGGAAAAAAAAAAAAAAGAAAGCTGAAATGACTCTAAATTCTGGCCCACAGAAGCATCACCAGCCATTTCTGGTGGTTACTTTCTTCAGATAGGGTAATCTAATCTGTCTGGAGGCTATGGACTTCTCCTAGTTGTCTGTTCCCTTCTCTTTCTAATAGGTAGCATCTCAGTTCATCCAGAGACATTGTCACAGGCCTGGCTTCTGTGAAATAGCATTTGGAGATACCCTGATTTTCTCAGCAGTTTGTGAGGAAAACTGTTTCTTTCCTGTCTTGCAAAAAAATTTTATTTTGACATCTTTTTCCCTATTCTGTAATGATAGCTTGTTTGGGCTAAAAAAATACCCACCCTAGAGCTGAACAAACCTGGCCGGGGTAGCTGGAGCCATTTACTAAAAAACAGCAGATAGACACCTGTCTGGGACCAACTAGAAATGGGAAAGATTTGGGGCTGAACATAGCAGAACACTTTCTTTTGGTCCCACAAACCCTTCTGCCCAAGGCCCTATTGCTGGAGTGGCTGCCAGCACCAAGGAAAGCCTATCGCCAAGCCAGGTCCTTTTAGGATTGTAATTTAGGGATATTTGTAATGCTCTGGGCTAATTTTTCATGTTCATGCATAGATGGACATTTTCCAAGAGTTCCCTCTTGGTCGCTGTTTTTTATGCGGGATACTCAGATTTTGTTTGTTATCAAAATGTTGAAATTTCTTTTTTTTTTTTCCAGAAAAACCTCACCTGACCACAGCCCAGGGGATTCTGAAGGAACCGAAAACAGAGTTAGGCTGCAGGAAGAACGCGCCTCTGGCTCTTTGAATGGCAAGTTGGCCATCCGAGAGTATAAAATTGCTCTGGATGGGTGTAAAGATTATCACCAAAGTTCATCATCCTCTACTCCATCTTGAGTGGAGAAAAGATGAATGCCATGGAAGTGTTCAGGAAATGTGGAAAATTACTTAAAAAGAAAGATAAGAACTTCCTGTAGACTTTAATCTTCCTTTTGCATGAGTTTTCCCTGTCCTTTGCCTCTCGTGCTCTTGTGCCCGTGCACACATGTACACGCACAAGCTCGTGAGTGCTTTAATTCACAGTGCCAAACCCATCTCTTCATGATCAACAAGGAGATAATTGTCCTCACTGGAAGGGGAAGGAAGGGAAAACCCATGATGTTTTGTGTTTGGTGGTGTCTGATAGGAGTTTACGTGCTTTTGCAGTGGAGGTGGCCTGTGGCCAAGCACTGTACCTTTTCAAGTAGCAATACTCAGGCTTGTATCCACATATAAAGCCTATTACACTAAATCTATTCCCAGATTCATTCTTCCCAGATGTTCCCATCTTTGGGTAATATATCATCACAGTGAAGTTCTCTTATAATGTATTACACTAATACATTGTTCGAAGGACACCACTGATGATAAATTTCTTAAATGATGGTGCTGTCTAGGGATAATGACTCTAAGAGCAAATGCAAGGTAATGTAGTGATTTTTTTTAACTGGGTTCCAGAAAGAATATGGAGACATCTTAAAGCCATTTTCATATGGGGGGAATGTTAAAATATGCAATATTTCAAGCACTATTTAACAAGCACTTGAACAATAGCAGCATTGATGATAAAGGTTCTACATTTAAAACCAGTCCCTTTATTCTGTTGTCTTTTAGCTGCATTTCAGATGAAATTCTGTCAGATTCTGTTGTTAAACCCTTATTTGAGAGTGTTTTAAGATAAGATTTTTTTTTTCATGATCACTTAAAAGGTACATCTAATTTTCATTGTGAACAGGGTACAGTGTTTCCTATGGTTTTATTTTAAAATTTTCATTCTTGTCTTTCAACAGGCCAAATTTTTAGGATGTTTGTTCGTATGATCAGAGCCAGGAAGATTTTATTAATTGGCAAGCTTAAAGGTTACAGTATCCTTGCTATTGCAGAAGAATTGCCAGATGATGGTAAGATCTTTGCATGTGCAGAAGCACCGTATCTCGGAGTGAACAGCCAAGAAGCATTTGATTATTCTTCAGATGGTAAAAAGATAAGCATGCGAGTGGGACCAATGGCAGACACTTTGGAGGTAAAGTCAGTTGGAAAGGGAGTTTGGGAGCTTTTGTGCAGAGCAGATTAAAGTGTTTCAGGCAGGTCCTATTTCCTTCCCACAAAATTCTGGATGGAGACCCTAGTTTGCTTGCAAATATGTGAACACACCCTTGCATTGGAGTTATTTCTTATTCATGACAAAGTATGATGGAACAGATCTGACACATGAGATATTTTTTTTTTTCCTTTGTAAAAAAAATGCTGCATCTTTTTGATCAGAGGAATCACAAGCTCTAAATTTAGGTCAATAAGCTTCAATGGCAGAGTTTTTATTGACATGGCTGAGCTTTGTTTCAGGGTCTTTAATTCCAAATATAACAAGCTGGAAGAGCGCATCTCTGCCCTCCTGAGCCAGCTCTTGAGAAGGACAGCTTGCTCCCAATGTTCACAAGAATTTGGAAAGTCCTGAAAGAGCTGGTAATTCAATCACAACCTCTTGCTATTTTCCACCACTGAAAACACTGTGGGCAATTGGAACACAAGTTTCTCATTTTCAGAGCAACATGATAAGGTTCAGACAAGCAAACTTGTTAGCTGTATTTGTTTCGTTCTGACTAGTGACTTTGTCCTGAGAAAGAGAAAAGTTTATGACTGCCAGCAGCTAGAGGAGTCTCATGTTTAATTCCAGTTTATGGATCTCCAGGATGTGGCTGAAGGTCCAGCATGCTCACAGGTGATGTCCATGCCAAATTCATTAAGTATATAACCTTTCTATTATTAATGCAAACCAATTTGATCTGATTCCACTTTCGATCTGGATGTGTCAGTGTGAGCTTGATTGTGACTGTATTTGGATTAACAGGTACCATATTTATTTCTAAAATTAAATGGCCAGGAGCTTTCTGACCTCTGGCTTTCATGACCTCCAAGCATGGTAAGGAAGAAACAAAGAGCTTTACCAAGTATATGGATAAATGAAACGTTACAGATCACCTGCAACGTGCAGCATCTAAAATCCCAGCTCCCCGCAGTGAGTGTAAAATTAATTGAATTGCTGTTGCTCTCTAGTGCCCATTCTGTGCAACTGACTTACTGTGACTGAATTAAAATATCTAGAGGCAGGCAGAGCACATGCTGTGTAGAGATTAAAGAAGGGAGCAAAGACATGAAAATTAAATCCTTAAAACAGAATGTTGCAATTGATTTTATATCCTCTGATTGCAACACAAAGACACATCCTGACCCCAGTTCTGCAGGTACTCAGGGCTTCAAAGAGCTCTTGGGGCTGATGGGAGCGGAGATGCTTCTGTTTGGCAGGAGAGATCCCAGCACTGGGGATATCTCTCTACACAGGATTTCTGCACTGCGCTCTGAACTTCTGTTGCTCAACCTGGCAGAGATTTTGTCATTGCTATCAAGACAGTCAGGATTGTCCTACAGGTCTTAATCCACAGAGCTGAAGTAATGCATCTGGTGGCCTTTCTGTTGCTTTTGCATTTTGGGCTAATTGAGGTTTGCCCAAGTGGAGCAGGGCAGCTGTGCGGGAACACAGCCATATGCATGGAAGAGGCTCAGGCTGTAAACAGCATGCTGCCTTTTCCCTCCTAGAGGAGACCAGTTTAGGTTGGAGACCAAGCAGGCTTCCTCCACTGCCCCATGGACATGCCAAAAGGCAGGAGGACAAGGCAGTCACAGGCAGCAGATGGGCCAGGGATGGTGTTGCCAAGATCTCCCAGCTCAGCTTCATGGAGGAGGTGGAGAACAACAGTGTTTCTGTCCACCATCGTCTGCAGGGAGGCTGGTCTAGAGCAGAGCTGGATAATAACTGTTGAAAAGCTTGGTGAGATTCAGGAGAGCTGGAACAAGCTCTGGCAAGGATTATCTTTGTTGTCTATGGTGTCTGCAGCCCTACATTTCATTCTTGCCCCTCTAGAGAAATTAGAAGACAGAGATGGTCAGCCACCACTTGCTCTTTGGAGGTGTCTGCTGCAGCTTTCTTGATGAGGTGACTATGGCTGGATTTTGCTTCCAAGCTGAGTGTAATAAGGCAGGATTTCTCCTCATCTGCTGCTCCTCAAATTTTTGCAGCAATGCAAGCTCCTGGGAACAGTATTTGCCTAATTTCACTGTCTCTTTCAAATCACAGAAGTGTCATATGACATATAAATAACACTACCTGGCAGGGAAGTCCTTTTCTGCTGCATGTACCTATGATTCAGAAAGTCCAAACTGACAGAACATATATGATGTACTCTCACTTCTGGTGTAAAACTACTCCATCCAAGGGTTACATCCTAGCCTCGGGTAGAGGGTACCATCCAAGTGCTGCAGGATGTGTCCAGTGCTGCATCCACATTCGCTGTCGATGTCTCGATGTCCTTTACAAGGGAATCTGCCAGAAGTTGCATCAATTACCACACAGATTTGACACATCTGTGCCAGTGGGGCCTTTGCAGCACCCACAGGGCTTTGGCTCTTCCACCTACAACGCAGCTCATCAGGGCTGTGAGCGAGTGAAGAGCAGTGCAAAGGCAGCACATCAGCCCATAGTGGCACCTTGACCAGGCTTTCTGAAGCCCCCATCTCTTGTCCCAGATCAGAGTCAGCTCCAAAACGTCTGGGCTTTTTTGCTGCCAAAGGATGCTAAATACCAGACAGGAGCCTCAGAGCTGAACAGTGGGGTTCATTTGGTACCTGAGGGCATGATGGAAAAAAATCCACCTTTCCCACATGTGAGGGACAGATACTGCCAAGTTATAGTAGGTCCCCACCAAAGCATGCAGCTCACCATGACACAAGCCTCTGTGCCCAATGATCTCAGTAATTTTTATGTAATACTTTGAAATGTGGACTGAGGAGAAGCCTTTCCCTGTGTTCAGTCTCTGATATAGGTGCTTTCAGTGGGAATTAGCTACTTCTTCAATGGGTGCTGGGCCAACATTTAAAAACCTTTCCCAACAAACTCCTTAAGTCTAAACTCTCGTGATGAGCTTGAATAATGTGTCTTGCCATGCATCAGCTGTGAGCATGAGGCCTGATCCTACACAAAGAGCTTCCTTTTATTCCCAGTGGACTTTTGGTTGAACAATGGATATGGGATTGAGCCCAGAGGGAATGCAAACTACCAGGAAATTATTCTTATCCACGATTTTGATCCTTTCATTTTAAAATTGAAAATGCAACACAAAAATAACATTGTGTTTGCAGCAGATTCTGCTGATTGCAGGGCATTGTGTAAGCATGTCGGGGTTTTCTTTTTTCTTTTTTCCCTCCTTTTACCAGACAGAATAGGTGAAGAGGTTGAGCTGCAGATCTCATTTCTCCTGTTTTGCTGCTTGTGAAGTCTGCCAACAGAATCCACCTTGACAAAGTCAAGGACTCTGCGTTTAATGTTGAACTGAGTGAATAAATTATGCATGAAATTGTGTCGGAGTCTCTAGTGTGCAGAATTGCTCCTTTTGATATGAAAGGTTAATTCAGAAAGGAGTCCAAAATAGCTGGAAATTGTGGGGATAAGTGGATAGTATTCACTGTTGTGAGCTGTTATTACTAGAAATTGCATTCCCTCTCTAGCTTCCCTAGAGATTTAGCTTTGCCGGTGAATATAAACTGTACTCAATAGAATAGCATTTAGGAGTAACAAGAGTGTATGTCCACATACAGTAAAATATTCTAATGGTGTTTTAAAAGGAAGCTGTACTTTTTCATGTATTCTGTGTACCCTAAGGATGGATTGCTATTACATTTAGGTCAAGAACAAGGCATAGGGAACGTAATAAGTTTTGAGTACATCTTTATTACAAATATGCTGACTGTATGATCCATATCAAAGGAACTGGACAGTCATTTTACTCTGATTGAGTTTGTATGTGCCTTATGAGAGAGTGTTGTCTCTGATCAGGACTCCAATCAAATTTGCTCTGAGCTTTGGCAGAAAACTCATTCATGTTTTTAAACGGGATGTCCTCTCCCTGATCTTTTGCCATATCCGCCAACAGTGCTGCTGTGCCCTTTCTCATGCTCGCTTTTGGTGCATCTCTTCTATGGAATGCGGTGTTACAAGATTTTTTCCTTTCTTAATCCAAAAGGAAGTTAATGACTCACTGTAAGCAAAAGCATTAATTTTAGCCAAGTTTGCTCTGAATTAAGACACTTCTTGTTGCCATCTGTTACCATCCATGGTGCCTCTGTAGCAAGGAGCAGGGATTGCACTGTAAACATTCAGGAAATTAGTTTCAGCGGGATATTTTGCAGGCAGATTATTTCCTTCTGGATCTCATCTTTCCTCACAGTTGGAGACGTTTGGGCTCTGCCCCTCTTCTAGCAAAGGACAAAGGCATCTCCAACGTTCTGTGAGGTCCCAGGCAAGGCCTGGCCCAGTCTGCTGTGGGAGGACAAGGGTGGTCAAATCCCTCCGTTTAAAACTCCCTCATCCCTTCTGAGGTGGAGAGCATCACTACACTAATATTTCCAGTGCTTATCTCCACAGTCAGAGCTACCAGTAGAGCAGGCTTTTTCCTTCTGGCTGTCTTGGTTCAGCAGCGGGTGCTGGCAGTGAGGAAACCCTCTCCAGTGTGTCCACCCTGGCCACGGTGACCACCTGCCCAGGTGACCCATGCTCTGCAAGCCAAGTTGCCCCAGGAAACAGAACACTTTCTTGCTCATGTGGCTGTTATCCTCTTGTGTAGAGGCTGCTCTAGAGGCAAAAGAGGTTCAAGGAATTTCATGGATCCCCCTTACAGGCCTGGAGCTGTTTCCAGCTAAATATTGAAAACCCAACAGCAATCTTGAAGCTGTGGAAACAAGAAGCTCAAATGATGGCATGGTCACAGTATGAACTCCAAGGTGGTGATTCAGGCATTTTCATATAGGTGTCTAGTACTGGGTATCTAGAAGAAATGAAAGGTGCTCAAGTGACCTTCATGGCTGGCTGTTCAGGACGTGATGAACTGGCAGAAGAGAAATGCCTTCCAAAGAGCGGCCTCGCACACCCGGACAGTGCAAGGACAAGACAGGTGTGTATTGGATACACATACAACACAGGCATCCTCCTGGGATGAAAGCTGTGAAGTTAAAAGGTGGTTTATCTGTATCAGAAGATAGATAAGAAGGAGATGAGCTGTCAGCAGGTAGACAGTACAGAAAGAGGGCTGAAATGAGAAGTCCAGCTAATATCCAAAAATCTACACAGCCCCATATGGACCTAATGAAGTCAATACATAAAAGTGAGATTCTTTTTCATTAGGGAGCAATACCTCGGAGCGGTAGTAACATATGTTCAGAGATGGCCACATCTGCTTCTGAATGTCTGCCCCCCACCTCATCCGCCTGGGAAGGTTACAAGTCAGAAAGAAGTGATAAGTCATGATAATTACTTGAATTTGGCTTTGGCTGTCCTCTCTGGGGTATGAGACCTCTAATCTTTCTTCCTGATGGACTCCTCCTCCCAGATTTCATCTTCTGACCCTTCCTGAAGTATCTACATTGGACAGACTCAGTGAGTTGTGACCTGATATAAGATGCTCTTCCACAGCAGCAGAAACGTTCCTGCTATTTTCCCCTAATACAGCTCAAGAGGGAACCAGGGCAAAATTTTCTTACTGGTCATGAAGTGAAAAGATGAATCCCAGGAAATGAGACGGCCCAGTTTCTGCTGCATTTATTATAAACCAGCATATATTTGGCCTTAAGGTCTTCTTTTATTGTAGTATAGTATCAAAAGGTGCCCTAAATGTGGACTTGTGAATGCTTTTGGCAGATCTTCTGTGCTATCAAGCATCTGCAGATAACTGTGACTATCCAGGCTCTCAGGAAAGCTTAATTTCTTAACCACTAACAAGCTCAAAATTACACCAGTTTGCACAATAGAGTAATTCAGAGCTTCAATGATCCACTTCCCGCTATTTCATCGTCTGAATGACGCACTCCCTGCTTCAGAAAGGCTCCTGAAATCTCTGTTTGGGAGCCATCAACCTCACTCTTGAAAACAAATTAGTTTTTCACATTCTGTTGCCATTTGTTATTGATGCTTTCTCTCGTACATCTCAGGGGATCGCTCATCACTCATTGTGCTCAATGTCTCCAAACACAAAAGAGAAATCTGGACGCAAGAAGTACTGTTAAAAGTTGTGGTAGAAACAGTGAGTTCTGGAAAACATAATTGTTTCTCTTTTCATTCAAAATGCCAAGACTTGAAAGCATTTCTGCTTGCGGAGATAGGTGGATGAGCCGTTGTTTCATTGCAACGCACACAGATGCAGTTAAATAGTCCCAGATGGAATCTGAAATATTCCATAGCAGCCTCTTGGGCAGCGAGTGCATTAACTGCCACAGGAGAAGGCTGTAAAGGCTCCCATCTGGTCATCCATCAACACTTTTATACATTATCATCAGCAGCCTGCTTGGAGGGAAGGTGTGCCACATTTCTGAAAATCCAATTAGATGATAGCAGCCAGTTCTCTTTTATCCTCTCTGTTGCTGAGCCATCCAAAGCAATTTTTTAGATTAAAGAAACATCATTTTCCTTCATAGGAGCTGTGCTGCTTTATCTCTATCATGACCTGTTCTTTTATGTGCTTTACAATTCTATTATTAATTGGGATTTCAACCATTTTCCTGCTACTGAAGTGGGACTCACTAGTTTGCAATTCCCAGGATCAGTCTTATGCCTCTTTTTTCCACTCTTCAATTTGTTGATGGCTGCTCTTTTGAGAAGAGATAACTTATTGCAGCACCTCAGCCACAGGGTTTAATACCAGTCCTTTACCTTACCCTGATGGATCAATTTGCTTTGACTCTAGATATGCTGATGTTTCTGCTGTGACTCTCACATCACAAGGTGGGATGAGCCAATTCCCTTTTCTATCCTGATTTTCTTTGAGAGGTTCAGAGTTCTTGGCACCAGCACTGCTGGAGAATTGTTTGCAAAGCATGGAAAACTCCCAAGATCTCCAGAAGTAATTCTAGCAATGTTACCTTAAAAGAACAAGGTTCCCTCTGGATTGGGTTTTACGTAAAGGACATTTTTGTGGCAGGACTTTAAATTTTCAGGTAAATAATTACTGTTTTCTCCAACATATTTTTTTTTCCAGGCAATACATGCTGAGGACGAGCACTTTGATATGGTCTTTATTGATGCTGATCAAAGGAACGCCATTAAATACTACAGCTTTGTCATGGATAACCACTTGCTGAGAATGGATGCAGTGATCTGTGTAGAGAATACACTCATGAAAGGACAAGTCTACCTGGAGAACATATCTGATGAAAATGTACTAGCTGTCAGAAAATTAAATACAGTGATTAATTCAGATCCTCGTGTTGAGCAGGTTAGTGCAATGTGATTGGTTAAGGTGCCTGTGGTACTGTATCTATGGATTCTGCAAAGTACTCTTTAAAATGTTTCTTTTGTTGGTGCCATTATCCAGAGGACCTAAAATGAACTCAGATTTTATTATAATTCACCTCACTTGACCTCTATGTATGAGTTTCTATATTCAGAAATGGTCCCTACTCTCTGTCTACATCTTATAGAGTGTTAAAGGCAAGATAAAAGTGGAGCACTTAAGGGTGAATAATCGGCTCTGCAGTACAACCAAGGAACTGCCGCTCTGCTTTAAAGGCTCTGGAGGCCGTAGGGCATCACCAGCACAACCTGAGTCAACAAAGTCCAACTCCAGCAGGAGAGAATGAAAGAAGTAATAGGATGCATAGAAAATATGCTCTGGTTTTAGAGGCAAAATTAGACACATACCCTCCAGGGCTTTAAAAGCAGGTGTGAATGATGCTAGCCCAGGGCAGTAGACACCAGCCTGCAAAGCTTGCTCTCATGCCATGGCTTCACCGGGGTGGCAGAGGGGCTGCTGGGGCTGGGGGGGAGCCACCCAGGATGGCTGGATCCCTGCCTGCCCATGTCAGGCTTGTGCCCAGAGGGTTTTGATATGCGCCTCGTAGGCTTAAGGTCCTTGTCTATCTGCAGGTCAGACAGCCTCTAGAGGTGCCTCCTGTGATTCTGTATTTATTCGACCATCCACACCATTGTCAACTAATGTACCAGGAGCAACAGTTTTTCTTTGTAGAAGGGGGAAAGATTAATGACAATTTTCCATACCCTAAATCTTACTATTAGTCATTCAATGCATGTAAATAGCATGTTGTTTCCGTATCTAATGTTCTAATAGTTTGATAGTGGTGTTGAATCTCCAACATTGAGTTCAGCTTTCACTAAAATGTGATAATGGTATCAGAGAAGGTAGATGTCAAAACCCACTGACATTCATCTATCAGTGCAGGATAGATGTTCTGGCAAATTCTGAAGAACACCAAGATGTTGCTATTATGGTGCTGAGCTCCACGAGTAAGACTGGAATATCCTCATGACACCATTAGCCAGGCAGTGGAAACCCAGAAACCTCAGCAGCTGACACTGATTTAGAAAACGGAGAGAGAAAATTGCATTTTTTTCCTGGCATTTGTGGAAGCTGGGAGTTGGATGAGGAATATGAGCAAATACAAATGCCTGACATATTTGTGTTGGAAGGAATTTCAGCTAAAGAATAGGAGTAGGAAAAAAGCTACTGTGGCCTAAGCAAAGACAGACTACCCTTCATACGAGTGGAATTTGGATGATAAAAAGCCAGGTACAAAGCAGTTGAGAACTGTGTGTGTGTGCATTGTATTTGCAGGTAATTTTACCTGTGCAGAGTGGACTGAGCATCATTCGAAGGAGCCCTGCACCTCCAGATGCAGTGATTCAATCCAAGGTGCGTATTTCTTCTCTGTGAGCACTTTTGGGAAAATTTTGACTCTGCTGAGGACAGTGACAAAATAATTTCCAGGGGTTTGGTGGTGAGAGCCCAGACTCATGTTCTGCCATGCCATGGTGCTGTGCAGCATGGACTTGCCAGCTTAGGGCTTGACATATTAGCCTCACTAGTCCAGGGCTAAATAATTTTAATAGGCTAAACCTGTTAAATGCTGATTCCTTTCAAAGTCTTTTGGATCAGCTACGCCGGTGCTGTGATAAATCCCCGGAGAGGCTGGCATGCTGCCTGCTGGGTATCTGTGCCTGGTGCTCTCTGGTCCTTCCCGTGCAGGGGAGTGCAGGCAGATGGAGCCAAGGCCTGGCCATAATGAACCAATGTAATATTTCTGAAGTAACTCTTTTTTTCCCCCAGGAGACAGTACAAGATGCTCTCCTATGGTCTCTGATCTGAATATTTTCATGGCCTTAGATTTTGCTTGTCCTGTGGAAAAGATGGTGCTTTTATCTTTCTCCATTTTATGTAGTGGGCATCATCCAGCTGTAATGAAATTCCCATCTGGAATCATAATGACCTAACTCAGTAAATCCAGACCCAAACATCCTGATTGTTTTGCAGTTTCTGAATGCTCTTAAAGCTACAGCCACTGGTAGTTCCTAGCATTTTGAACTCAATATTTTAAACATCTTGTATTTTCCATTTTGATTCCAGTCAGGGGGGAAATGATGTATGGCAGCTGATCAGATGACAGCTTGGTTTAAGTTATTGGCTGATATCTTTATTTGTGCACCAGCCTTGTTGAAGATATTTTGATTGCACTCCACCTGAGCCAAATCCTGCCTTCGGAAACTTGTTCTTAGCCTTTGTGCCTCCCTGGAGTCAGCTGAGCCTGCGAGCAGGATTGGGCCCTGGGGGTGAAATAACTGGAAGACTTAATCAGTCAGCTTCTAAGACACTGTACCTGACCAGTCTCCCATGAGAAGCTGGGTCAGGAAATACCATACCCTACTCTCATGGAAGTGGAGCGGTCAGTGCATCTCGCTGAACCACAGCCTTTCTGCTCCATTGTCTTGCACCTTAGAGCTCCTATTGAGACTAATATCTGTAGGGTTAAGGGTGCTTTTTGGCCTGAATTAATCACACCTTTTGTATTAAATAATGGACCAGGAAAACATGGACCCCGCTTCATGCTCCCACCTCATTCTCACAGGTAGAGTCCTTCATAGCTACCACTTACTGAGCTTTGCACCTTATTGTGCAATGTATATATGCTTTTGTTTTAGAAAGAAGTGGTGAGGGATGACGTCTTCTGGGGTTATAACAGGCGCCACATCCTTGACCGGCTGCGTTTGGATGGCAAGGTGGCTTATGTCACCGGCGGAGGGCAGGGAATTGGAAGATCCTTTGCTCATGCGTTAGGGGAAGCAGGTGCTAAAGTAGCCGTTGTGGACCTGGTCCTTGCAAAGGCAGAAGCGGTGGTGTGTGAGCTCAGCCTCAAAGGTAAGCACAGGACTGACCTGCAGATCCTGCTGTACAGAGCCTGGTGATGAGTGTTGTCACAGGCTGCTTTCCTTGTTCAAACCTGACCCTTTCTCTGCAGTGCAATTATCATCCACCCAGCCCTGATAGGAAATAGGTTAGACCAGAGGATTTTCAAATAGCAAATACATGCCATGGTCACAAAACTTCTCCTGCCCAGGCTGGATGTCAGCATTGTCTCAGCAAACAGTCATCGATAGCACATCATCTGCTAGAGGTATTTATCAATATAAACTCAACCAGAGATGCAAAGTGATCCAGACAAAATTCCTTGCCAACAATGCCCAAAGGAAAAACGGCAGTGAGATGTGGCTGATGGGGACAGAGAAAGGCCACCTCTTGCAGATGAGATGTGTATAACTTGCATTGAACAGAGATGGTGTTCCTCAGAGTAAATCCTGCAGCAGCCAAGGCACCTCAGGCTTCACTAAGGATGGATGATAGACGTGGCCTACGAACTCGCTCGCATATATCCCCTCCCTGGCACCTCTTCCATACATAATGTCCGGACCATAAGCCAAAAGACCAAAACCAGGTAGAGGTATTTTCATCTTAAGTCTCTCATTGTGCCCTCAAATTGAAGCAAAGTCATTTTGGAAACCCTCAGCTATAGTTCTTTCTGTATGCAAGGTCAGATCTAGGAACAAAATACTGATGGACATAATAACTAAAATCCCAAATAAGAGGTAAAATCCGCTACAAGCTACTTCTAGCAGTAAAAACAGAAAACGTAACATAAAATTGAATTTCCCCCTAGAGTCATGCTAAACTGCAATTGTAAAGGGGAAAAAGAAAACTGGAAATATAATTTTAATGAGAAAAGAAAGGAAAAGTTACTCATTTTATAATTCCTTTTGCAAGATTACAACCGAGTCTTCTTCTAAGTTTGGTACTTCATTGCCTCTAAAGACAGAGATATACCCAGGAAATTTTCACATTCCTGTTTGGATAAAGTCACCAGTATTTGTTTCCACTCTGATTTCAGAAAGGGATTGGGCCACTGGAAACCATATTCTCCAGCAAAACCAGACCCTGCAGATGTATTTCTACTACCCAGTCTCAATCAACTTCCTGAGGAAGGGGTGAGGAATAGTTCAGTTCTGGTTTTGATGCCATCCCAAGGCTCCCCAGAGAACATCTTAAACAAAAAGTCTCAGTCTGTACGATCCCAGCTCTAGTAAGCAGGAGACACTTTACCCTGATTATCAGTGTAATGGTTAAAGGTCTAATTTCTGCTCTGATCCCAAATAGCATCCTAGAATAGAAAGTGTCCAGCTCCTATTACAAATTCTTGAGTCATCCAGTCCCTCCTTCCCTGAAGCTTTTCATTTTCTTATGCACTGAAGCCATATGGTCTTGGCACAAAGTAGCTGTGCCCTACAAGTTAACTTGCCTTTTGGACATTTTTTCACAGTGAGGTCCTGCATATCAAGTAGAGCTATTCAGATAGAAATGGGCTAGTTGATGTAGCCATGAGACTTGGGATGCCAACAGCCTATTTGAAAACGAACTTAACTTGTCTCCAGGGCATTGTCAGTAGGAGTTTGATCATCCATCAATGGCTGCCCTACATCTCTGCTCCTTCACCGGTGGGCTGCAAGCCCAGAGGTGGGTAGGGTGTTACAAAATGCAGTCAAAGAGGTCATAGCAAATATCATTGCAGTCTAACATGAAGAAAATCTCACTTCTCAGTCTTTACATATCTTTATCCTTTGAGGTCAAATATTCTCTCTCAACTTGACCACTGCAGCTGCTCAGGGCACATCTATGCCATCTCATGATGTTTCTTAAGGTTTCAAATTTACTGTCATTCTTCATTGGAACAAAAGCCAAACTCTGTAACGCTTTTGTGAAAGGGAATTCTATCCAAATGCCCGTTTTTGGAAAGGATCTGAAAAGGTCAGGTTTTCACTCTCTTTCTCTCCAGAAGTAACTAGAGAGTCTAACCTAGACCTCAGAATCTTTCTCTTGAAAACTTTTGTTAAAATCAATACATTTCCACAAAACATTTTGCCTCCGAAGAAGTAATGTACTCTGTTGGAAATAAATGTTGACAAAAAGATTCAGCTAGCTTTACTCTCAAAATATTCATGAGTAAATTGAAGCAATTCTAGTATTAATACATAATTTTCCTGCTATAATAAGCACAAAAGAGGTATGATTTCCCTCCCTCTCCCTTTGGTTGTGGATCTCTAACTCAAAGTTGGAAACACAGTGCCCCAAGTCATTCACATACTGATACTTTTTCAAAACATTTTGCTCAGCTTTCTTAAACCTGCTTTGCTTCTTATACCAAGGAGCCCTTTACTGTCTTTTTGGGATGGTGCCATCATTTCATGATGAGTTTTAAACATCAGAACCTCTGTGATCTCAATTTTAGCTTTGTTAGACAGCTCGGGTGTATCTCCCTTGGCTACAGGGGTCTTTGTTTTTAGATCCTGCGTGAATACCTTTTTCAACAGTTACTAATGGATCCTGACAGAAGAACCAAAAATGATAAAACATAACCAAAAAATCCTAAGGGTTACCTTCCATTACATACCCCTCTGTCTTCAGGGGGAATCGCTGCCTGTACCTTAAGGGAAGAATTAGTCTGATGGGATTTTTAAAATGTGCATTTTCACTGTAAACTATGCAAATGCCTTCCCCACAATGTCACTTCTGATCTTCTTGTCTATATGCAATGTATTACTTCCATTTCTACTGAGAGACCAGAGATGAAGCCTGTGACAGGGGGGGCCTGTACATGTCCCCTGCAGAAGGGCACCTCTGGCAGATTTGGCACATTGATGTCTCCCCAGCATGGAGTCCCTGGCTCCTCTGCTGCCCCTCTCATCACAAAACTGCCTCCACGAGCACCACTAAACTAAACTGAGGACTGCAGAGATGCACAGGCACCATCCTGCATGTAGCAGCACGGTCGTGTGTTGCGTTTCTTACCTCTGGTTGGGACCACAGATTTAAAGTTATCTTTCCATATCTCATTTTATTTATTATTATTATTATTAGCAGGTGGTTTGGGGGAACAGTGGAGAGAAAGTGTTTTGTTTCCCTCTCTCAGGATGCAGGATATCAGCTGAATTGATTAAGGTCAAGTGTGGGACTCTGGTTTGAAGCGAGCGTGCCTTCACTGCTTCTTCTCTAGACAGTCACATGTGGCACCTTTTGTCTTATTTTTATGAACTATCATATAAGATGAAGCCATAAATGGGGTGAGAGTTGGAGGGCAGGTGAAGAGCCTCATTCTGTTACCATTAGTAACACGCTTGCACCCATTTTGTCTGTAAATTGAATAAGAAAGATTGCAGCAGCTCCCTGTACGTTACATGTCTTGATAACAATTAGGAGGAGCAACGGGGGCTGTCTGCTATTCTTATTCTTTCAGCACGTTTAGCATAAAACCTGCGATAAAATAAGAGGTCTTGTTTTGTGGCAGAGCGTGCATTCATTTCTGTAGGTGGCTGTGTCATGGGTCTGCCCTTTTCTCTGCTGTGGAATGCAAGGGGACCGTGGCCCAGCTGAAGGCCAGAGGGGACGTGAGCTCCCATACCTGGCGTGGGAGCCCCCCAGACCGGCACCCCCCTGCTCCAGCCGGCTCCTGGAGGCTCTGGAGATTAAGAGGAGCTTTTCCATCCAAAAGCCTCTTCCCTGTCAGGTTCTTCAAACATCATGGGGCAGTTATTGCTTTGCCTTGCTTTTATGGAAGCCTCCATCTCAAAGCTCCATTATGGGAGAGTCTTCTCCTGTTCTCCTAGGATAGGTTTAAGACTTCTTTTAAACTTTTTATTAAGATGATCTAAGAGAGGGACCGATGGGGAATAATTTTTCCATTTAAATAGAAGTTACAAATCTTGCTTTAACAGCTGTAACTCACAACCTGTGCGCTCTCTGCTTGCAGACTGCTGATCTATGGTCCAACCCCAGCAGCTGCTTCCCTCCCTGCTTAACACCCATTTCACCACAGCCCTTACTGGTGTAGCCTTGCTTGACTTTCAGGGTAGCTATAATCCCATTAGCATCAGGTGCCTCATCAGGCTGCTTATTTTGTTTAATAATAGGGTATTTTAAGCTGATTTCAACAGTAATGAAGCTATTTATGGATCATCACTGGTGCAAAAGTCAATACCTGTTTTTTTTTCCTAAAAAACCCCCAACTTTTGCATGTTTCAAATCCAGTAAATCTCTTAACTTCTGAATGTTTGTGCTATTCTGGTAGTGTAATTTGCAGGAAATAAGGCCAGGCACCGTGACTACTGTATCTGTGAACCTGCAGGTATTCCCAGTTAGCTCCCACCTAAAACTGGTTTGGTTTTGTCCGAGGCTCCCAGCTGTCTGGATGCTGTCGTTCACCCGGAGAGCACTTTTTGAATAAATCGGTTTGATTTCTGCAGCATCTTGGGGGGGGGAACTGACATAAACACCATCTACATTTGAGCAAATGAAGGAGTGCTTTGCTTTACCTTGTTCCTGAGCTGTCCCCATCCGCTCACGGGCGATGTTCCGTGGAAGTGTTCCCGGACGGGAAGGTGCAGTTGAGGGTTTGGACAGAAGATGGTGCAGTGTTCAAAGCTTCGCCCCGCTGGCGTGGCAGGCTCCCCTCAGCCCTCGGGCTCGGGTTTGCCTCCAACAAGCAACCCTCGCACCAGTTAGCAACTTTATAATAACAGCATTACAACAACAAGCACATTTTGCTACAGTTTGTGGAGCAATGAATTAAGGTGGCGTATATATATATGAATTAATAAGTAATCGTAAAACTTTTTTTTTTTTTTTTTCTTTCCCTATGAATTCCCGTCCTGAGTTCATCACTCTATTTTAATGCAGGAATTAAAAGCCTTGCCCTCACAGCAGATGTAAGCAAACCCGAGGATGTGCAAAGGATGGTGGATACCATTGTAGCTCGCTGGGGCACAGTTCACATTGCATGCAACAATGCGGGAATCAATATGAATTCTGCAAGCGAAGATACTTCCCTAGAAGAATGGGACAAAACATTTAATGTTAATTTACGAGGATTATTTTTGTGCTGCCAAGTAAGTGTGAAATGTTGTACCAGTTTGTTTTGCAAATGGGCAATAATTTTCTAAGCATTTACTTTACCAAGATTTAATAACACTTTATTACTAATTACCACAATAAAATTGGTCCTAGTTTTGGTGGATTTAGGGAGAGATTTGCTTTATATCAGTTAAAGATTTTGGTCAGTATTTTAAAAAGTAGCTGGTCCTTACTGGCTGCCTGATCCCAGGCATTTAAGAATGGTCAAATTTTTTGGTAGGTGATTATTTGATACATCCGGAAAAACAGAAAACTTTGGGGGGTCTTTCCCAACATTAGTGATTATTTTGAAAAAATATTGCCAACAGTGAAGAGGGTCTGAAATGGCAATGGGATTTTTCCTGCATCAGCCATTTTTCTATCAATTTTTTATATCAAGTGCTTAAAAAAAATGTGTTAGCACATAAACTCTTCTGAAAAGTGAAGACTAATTTATTATCATGTCATTATTAGCGCAATCACAAAAAGGGTCACTGGTCTTTCCTTTAATTTCTGTCACAGGCTGCAGGCCGCATTATGCTGAATCAAGGATATGGGAAGATAATTAACACAGCATCTATGGCAAGTTTAATAGGTGAGTGATGAGAGCTAACAGTTGTGCTTCAGAATCCATATTTTAATTACTACCGATGCTATTTGAATCAATTAAACCTGTATTGGGAAGGAGTAAATCACTGACATTTTGTATTAGAGGAAATGTACTACAAAATTTTTATTGATACCATTTTTCAACATTTATCTGTCCTCTATGTTTTAGAGCACTTATTACTTTTTATAGAAGAGGCGGAGTCACCTTCTCTGACTGGGATGCACTGATGGCATGGGAGAGGTGCTGGGGCAGACCCCAGTAACTTCAGGCAAACATTATTTGAGTGAGGGAAGCTGTGTCCCTGTGATGTTTACAAGCCACCCAAAAGCTTTTGCACCGGTTTTCGCCCCGGTACTCGTGGGTTTTATTTCATTATCGTTGCCAACAGGTGTCTCCACCAATGCTGCTGAATCAGCAGTGTCGTCAAAAACGCCAATAAACCATTGTAACATATGGAATGAAATCCCTACTGCTGAGCTAATCTGGAAGGCAGTTACATGCTGGTGAACTGAGGCCCATGTAACAAAAATTGATCAATTACACAAATTAAGTATAGCCCTTTAGGAATTTATTTTATTGGTCTGGACATCTGTTGCAGTATTGTCCAAATCCAAAAATCAAATGGTGCCTTGGGTTGCCAAGTTAGGCAAGAAAATCTAGTAGCTATAAAAGTACAACTGAAAACCCCTGTATTAATATCATGTCCATCTGCTGAATGTTACATAAATACACAGTCTTTTTATTTTCCTTGGGAATAACATTTATTTTTACTGTGCCCAGTTTGACATTCTGTGACATTCTGCTCAGTTTATTGCACAGTAACTTTAAATGTTTCTTCAAAAATGCATTTATAATGTTGTTGTTAATCTTTTTTTCAAGTGTCTTTACCAGCTGTTTTACTTATGATTAAACATAGGCACCATTCCTCTGGCCCAGCTTTGCAGAGTTACAAAATCTCCCAAAGAAAAATAGTTTTGAAAAAAATGCAAAACTTTACATTTTCAATGCTCCAGACTTTTGTGCTCTGCTCTGCACAGAGGGGCTCTGGTCTGGGCTTGGGCTGTCACCACCCACATCATCGTCGCAGAGCAAAATTTACTGGGAAGTGTTCCACCTTAGAGAAAGTTATGAATCCCTGGAAATTGGCACCAGCTGGGGGGCTGCTGGTTTGGCACACTGCTCCCGGCCTTGCTCTCCCAGCCCAGAAGTGCTCTCCACTGCTTAAGGAGAGGCTTTTCCCAGCTTCTCCATCAGGCCCTGGCACAGTTCTGCTGAGCTGGGAGGTAACGCCACTCCACCACGGCATCCCTCCCAGCCCCAACTCGGGGCTGCACCTCCTTGACCAATGTGCCAACTCCACAGGGACCCCCATGGGGAGTACATTTGAGGGAGGTATCGGTCCTGGAGCAGGAGCAAACACTGGAAAGCAGCCCCGAGAGCAGCCTGGAAGGGTCATTGCAAGATGCATTTAATTGTCATTGAAAGTTAATGCATGCTAGGCCAGAAGTTAAGAGATGAAGAGATGTGTTTACCTTCTGAACCTGTTTGAATCTTGGCATTGAAAAAATCTAGTAGTTATAAAACTACGACTGAAAACCACGATGTTCATATCATGTCCATCTGCTGAATGTTAAATAAATATGTTGGTTGGTTGGTTATTTAAGTATGTTGGCCAACTGGCATAGTATGAAATGTTTCTAGAAATAGTTAGGGGATATTTTTTTTGTTGTTGTTGTAGGTTGAGTCCTTCCTTAGAGATACAGGCAAATGAGGAGACACTTAGCAGGATAGGGAGGTTTTTGTTTGTGATTTTTCCAGATACACTGCTCAGAATCGGTTTTAATTAATTGAAAATAAGCTGCATACATTTTGCATATGTGCATTTTGATTCTGGTATATCACTGGAATTATTCCAGACGTATGCTTCAGCAGCGGAGACGAGGCTGCTGCAGCTCTGCGATTTGCACAGGTGTAACTCAGATCTGTAATTTTTACAGTGAATATCTTTAGTGGTAAGTGGTCTGGTCTTCTCTATCTGTGTGCACCTCTCATTAACATTACATGGCTGCTTCAAGGTCAGGCTAGAAGCCTTATGCACCGAACCAGGTTGCAAACACGTAGTGTCAGGTGTTTAAAATGTAATGCAGCTGATGTTGGCAGCATTCTTATCTGCTTTCCTCCCATCTTCTCCATCTGAAACAGGAGTGAGTGTCCTCGCTTCCCAGAAGCCTTACAAATTCAGATTTTCTTTGTGACACTGCTGGAGGCATAGCTTTGTTCAGAAGCATTAGCCCCATTTTGTATGAGTTTGCAGGGCTGCAGCTTTACTCTTCTCTCTAGAAGGGACCACCCTGGGGTAAGGGAAGAGGGGGCGGTGTGGGGTGCTAAGCTGGAGAAAAGCCCACCCAGCACTGGAGCTTCACGGTGCCCACTGGCAGCTTCTTGAGCATTTCCCATTGAGAGGGGCCAAGTGTCTCAGGAGGTGGAAATTTCATCTTTTAAATTGCCTTCCTTAGATATTCTCAGGAAGACAAAAGCATTTCCACAGAAGGACTCTTGAGAGCCCTGTCTCAGCACCCACCCCAAACCAGAAAGCTGATTCTGATAGCTTGCAGCGACTTGCTGCGCTCACCCACGTGCGCTCAGGTGCAGAACCGGTGCCAAAACTCTTATCCTCTTAGCAAACGCCGAATGATTTATCACAAACAGACATGTTTGGAAAGTTTAGCGAAGAACTGCTTTTGGGAGGTTACAAGGTTAACTACCGAAGTTGTATGTAACTTGGAGCTGATGCACGGCAATTAATCAAGAAATTGCATTCCACCTCTTTGAGAGCCTAGACGGTGTGCTGCGTCTGGGGGGCAACAGGCACATGCAGAGGGCAAAGCGGTTCTGCTGGTCAAAATGTGAATTACTTCATATAGAACAAAAAAATGAAAGCAGAATAAATGATGGCAGAGGGTGGCCACGGTGTGAAATGCTCTTTGTAGCAAACAAAAGGTCTCCGAATTCTGAGCAAACCTTCAGCACATGCAGAAAAAAAAGAAACGCTAATTGTTGCTCCCATCATGTGTGTGCTTTAAATCTATTCACAAACATCTGTGTTCAAGGCAAAGGTCCTTATTCATGTGCTCAGTAATTTTCAGCAGAGCTTTTGGCTCTTAGAGAGGTTGGATAACTTGATTTATTATCGTCTTCATTTCAGCCCTTAAAATGACACGCTCAAAACCAATAGTTTGAGTCAATAAAAGCAGTAGTGGATGTATTGGGATACCATAGATGGTGGTGATCTAGAACTGATGCACCAGCTTAATTTAATAAATTATGACCAATTTAATGCCATCTGCCAGTGCTGCATATGTGCTTTGATCAAAATGCTGTGGGGTTTGCCTGCTGTACCTTACACAAACGCAGCAATTGACTCTCTTCCAGGGTTCAGTGCTACCTAAACCCACAGCCTACAATTGCTTGCCTTTGTGATTACTGATATTTAACACTGATTCTCCCCACTCTCCCCCCACAAAAAAGTCAGCAACTCAGTGATGCTCAGTACCGATACTGTGCTAATTATGGATCAGTGCTTTGCACTGGATTTGTTTAACAAAGTCATAATGGCAACCAGAAAGGTCCAAGGAGAGATCTTTGTGGGTGTAAATCCCAACAGCTGGATTGGTTTGCTTTGACTCCCGTGGGTTTAAAGCACTTTACACCCACTGGGGATTTGTCCTTAAGTAGCTTTCTTGGGAACACTGCAAGTGTGAGAGCTGGTGGAGGGGCAGAGCCACCCGAGCACACAGCACTAACAAGCTCGAACATTGTAATTAGCAAGCCGATCATTTTCCCTCTCTGACTGACATGTGACATCTTTGAAACATTTTCAAAAGCTTCAGATTTTGAAAGTGGTGGGTGTTCTGAATTTTTGGGATGCACCTGTGCTCACATCCACACAAACACTGATTAGATAATATGATGTGTTTGCATCAGACTATGGATAATTCAAAAATTAAGGAGAATAATTTCTTCCAAGAGGCTACAACCAGTATAATATGTTATATAAAATATATTATGCACTTAAATAGTATTATATTATAATATAATATTATATTACACAATATAGTATCACATCATACTACATCATATCATATATTATATAATATGATATTTTTTATTAGTATTACAGTGTGCAAGTATTTTGTATATAAACATACATATGTGTATAATATATGAATGTGCATGTGTATATATGATTATTTATCTTTCTTAAGTGTAGTCAAATATTGCATATGTATGTTTAACACATTGGTTTTGACTTTGCACAAATATAGAAGCTTCTAAATTTCTTCATTTCTTTTTTATTTTTTTCCCTCCGTTTTTTTCCAGTAGCCCAGCTGCTGAGGTAAAAATGTTAGATGGCAAAATACAGATTTTGAGTTTTTTATTGTGGGTGGCTTAATTCTTGTTGCTCCCTGCCTAGTGTCAGACAAAATGATAAATGATTCATCTCAATGTAGGGAATTGTTCATGTAGTGCCTAAGCTGTCTTAATTTGTGGAGAATAAATATTTTTCTATTTCTGAATCCCTTGTAGTCCCACACCCACAGAAGCAGTTGGCGTACAACGTCTCGAAAGCTGGGGTCGTAAAATTAACACAGACATTAGGAACCGAGTGGATTGACAGAGGAGTGAGAGTCAACTGCATTTCCCCGTAAGTAAAATGTAGTCTCATTTTGAAAGTACAAAGAGAATGAAATGTTCTAAAAAGCTCAAATGAACAGTATCTCGGCAAATAAAGTTTCTAATTAGCAGGTGGATTGCATCCCTTTTTATGTTGTCTTTTCCTTAACAAAGGTTTAAATACTTAGAACCAAGCCTGCTCTGTTGCTGTGTATACTCAGGGATTTAAGAAGAGGTTTTAGCATTTGATAATAGGTTTTCCTGTAATGTGAAGGGTAGTTTTTAGCATTTCTTTTCCAGATGAAATATTTCCTTAGTCTGTCCAAGCCTTCTGCGGTTAAAGAAAAGGCTTTTGACACTTAATAGACAATACTTCTTTCCCTTTTTTACTTGAGACAAATATATAGGCACTTTAAAAGCCACATTATACTGCTGTAATTGAGATACTGTTCAGCTCTGACAATCACAGGGGGCCAGGTGTAATTTTGTAAATATATATATGTATTTATTACAAATTACATTTTTCTTATTTTTAGGGGCTTAGAGCTGTATGTTTTATTTTATGATATTGATTCACAAAGAAAAGTTTTCTTATCACATATACTTTTTTTCTCCCTGTTTCTCACACACATACCCAACACAGTCATTTTATTAAACAATTAACAGTGCATGATAGTGCTAAGCAGAAACCCAAGTGGATAGCATTAATTGGAAGCGGTCAAATTCCATAGACCATAGGAGTCAATCAGAGTAAGTAAGGGCAGGTTTTTAACCCAGGAGTTAAATTGTAATAATGAAGATATAATGTACATCAAATCAGGAAAAACAAATTACATATTTTAATCCACAAAGTGGAGTAAAAAAAAAAAAATCACAGAGCTCAATGGTAAGTGCTTCTGTTTTTACTGTCGGCCTGCTCTCCACTTCCTTGTGCTAGCTGTCTTCCTTATGATTATTTATTACTAATTATACCAGTGACTCCAGCCGTCATTTATGTGATCCACAGATTCTTTAAACAGCATCTTACTTTGTAATGGGATTTTCCCCATCCTGATGCTAGCAGCTCTGCAATAGTGTTCCCACAACTTGTGCTAGTGAATTTACACTGGCTTTCGGGAGCCAGAGGAGATGAAGGGAATTAGGGAAGCTCAGTAGGACCTGGCAGGAACTGTGTCTGAAAACACATGGGTAATCTTTACCAACAGAGATGGGATAGTAGTACCACATTCACAGAAATCACGGATAAGGAGGCTCTTAGATGAGGAATTACCCATTTCTAGAGGGTTTACATAAATTTAAAAAATATCCACCGAATGATCAAAACTCATTGTTTTGCATAAGCTGGAAGCATACACTCATATTTGAAGAAGTTATGTTTCTGGAGGCACTTGTCAGAGCATGGAGAAAAAATAGTCACCCTTTTCTTTTTCTGCTTTTCAAGCCAAAACAGGGTTGCATTTTGATTATCCCTACCTGTCTTAAACTCTAGCTCTGAGTTCAAAATCCTACAAGATGGGCAGTGTTTCGTTGTGGAGGAATAGCCAGAAAGGACGCACAGAGGACAAATGTTTCTGCTGTCTTTAAGGTCCCACGTTTGGGACAGAGCCATTGCCCCTAACACAGCCGGAGACCTGAGCCGATCCTCCCCGGGAGCTGGCAGCCCAAAGCCTTGGCTCGGGGAGCTCTGGGTGGAGGCTCAGAGGAAGGAGCCCACATCAGATCATATAGCTCAGATCCCGCCTCACCACAAGCAAAAGCCACATGTGCTTGAGGGTGAATAAATATTCACGTTCACCCTTTTCTGCCTGTATGAGATGTGAACCTGCGTTTCAGTGCAGGTTTGGTCCCATCCCCAGAACTGTGGACCCCACTGGTCTCATTGTCGTGCCTCTTGACGTGACTCACCGAGGCACAGGGGCATCTTCATCCCACTTGATCTTAGTACCCAACGCTGGGCAGTAGCCTCAAAGCAACAGCACCTCTCTCGATGCTGTCAGTGCTTTGCAGGGTTGAAAAATGTCCAAAATGCACAAGCGTTTTTGAGCATGGTTGTCTGACCTAGCATGTAGTCATCTTAGAACAAGAGGGGATTTTGAGGAGTGTGAGGAGCACAGAGGTAGATATAGTGCATGATGATACCCGAGATACTGTCTGTAATTAAAATACATGTGTCCTTAAAGACTTTGTTCCTCCCACTCTCAGCTGCATTAGTGCTTTAAGGCACTCTCAGCATACCACTGCCTGAAGCTCCAAACACTCCAGTCTGGCCTTAAACATTATTTCACCATGCAAACCTTTTGGCCTTTTTTCTGTCTTCCTATCTGGTCATTTTTTATCAACTAAATTTCTTAATGAGTGCATAAAACTTATGGAAAGCAATGCATAAAAGTTATCAATGCATAAAATGTTATGGAAGACTCCCTAGGATAATTTATTGCATTTATAAAATTGAAGATTCAGGTTTCTCTTGATGGCCAGGCAAGCCTCATGCCCATGGGGAGAAGGTGGCCAAGACTCCCTGGATGCTTTGGCTGACTTTGCCTGTTGCTTCATGCCGCAGCAAGCGTCTCAGTGTATCGTGGGAACTGTGCTCAGCCCTTCTGCCACCCCCCAGTGCAATTACCTCGCAGATTGCTGCACAGCTGGTGCCATGAAGAATGAAGAAGGTGCTGGGCTCTCCCCAAAAGGGACATCAGGCTGCAGAGGGGACCTGGGTGTCAATACCTGGCTGCCCATGGTGTATTTTAGTCTTTTTTCCTGGTCCCTGCACATGTGAAGTGTGTTGGGTGTGATGGAGCAGGGGACTTTGGAGGGTCTCTGATTTTTGGCACGTGCAGCATTGGAACTCCATTTTTGCAGGCATTGCACCGAATCAGTATCCATTTTTGGGGCTACTTGCATCTCCCTGCTTGATTTGCAAGGCGTAAAATGCCATAATGGGATGGGCAGCTGGAAGCTGATCTTCATCTCAACCCCCAGCTGCAGCCAGGCCAACTGGTTGGAGACCCAGTGAAACTCCAGTCTCAGAGGATGAACCACGTTCCCCACCGCGGGGCTGCCGGGATTTGGGTTTGGGCTGTGATGGGCAAAGAGGCTGTGCCCTGGATGCCCATCTTGCTCCCCCAGGATGGGACAGAAGCAGCCATACGGTGCTGTGCCAGGCTTTTAGCCCAGTGGGTACGAGGAGTCAGAAAGCAGGTGTAGGGCAGGATCACAGCAGGTTTTGGGTGTACCCCATCACGGGGGGAGGAGAGGCAGAGCTGGCAGGAGAAGGAGCACCCCAGCATCTCCTGAAGGCATCCCAATTAAGCAGCATTACTATCCCCATTAAGCAGCAGTCGTTGCTGGTAAGTATCTTTGGACTTAAATCTTAATTCCGTGGGAGATGTCCCAATTAAGTGGATCTTGTGATTAAACACTTCCTGATTAAGTGGAGTGTACTTAACTCATTCAAATTAATAACTCATCTGAAAGAAATCAAGTTACACACAGATGGAATCTTTTTTTGCTCTCATTTGGGGATTGAGCATACGTAACAATTCCAGTTAAGTATCTGGTAAGTGATATTTTTCCTAATGTGTCTCTCAAAGTGGAAATGTTTTAGGCAACTGGGGTTTTTTGTTGTTCTTTTTTTTTTTTTTTTTCCCCTAATGTATCCTAATGTGTATTGTCCTGTGTATCAATAATGAAATATTGATGCTCATATCTAACATTAAAGAACCAGCAGTTTGATATTACATTGACATGCAACAGAAAGTACTGATAGGCTCAGCACTGCATACAAGATGAGGTAGGGAATTAATGCATTGGCAGTTGTCTTTGCTGGAACTGGTTAGAAGCCAACTAAAATCTGCCTAAAAGGGTTCGACAACATTAAATTGCCCAACTTGGCATCAGAGCTTTCCCAGAAGATGTGTAGTATCAATGACATGCCTAATATTTATAGTGCCATCAGTATGTGTGTTTGCAACTTTTAAGTTTTGCGCTATATTTTTTTCTCATTTATATAACAAAAATTTGTAATGAAGTTTTATTACACATCTAAATTTTTGCTACTTGAAGTGAACGTAAAGAAAGGTCCAGCGAGAGGCACGGTGCTGTGATTTACAGGTTGCAGTGATCAGACCAAAGATCATTTTTCTGAACAGATTGAAAAATGTCCTCTTTTTAGCAAAATCTGTTCTGTTGGAGGACTATGTGTTGTATTCCCTAATCTGCATTCCCTTGGGGTTAAAGCATATATGTAAATTAAAGAAATTATAAATTCATATGGATCTTATTCTGGTCTCTGATAGTGTAAAGCCAAAATGATTATGTTGATGGCTTTGTAAGCATGGTGAGAGGCACGTAAGGGAAAAGAGTCCAATATATTTCACGTCTGCTGCTCAAAGCATGTTTCTCTCTGAAGAAAACCAGTTCTTGAGGAGTTTGGGAGAGTGAGGGGGGAGAGGGGGGGGCTGTGCTTGGGGGAACTAAGTAACCCGTCTGCAGTCCTATACTGGAATGTGTTCGACTTTATTATGTTGCCAGAGCTTAAGTGAGCTGCATCGCTCAGTGTTTCTGAACTGCTCTGGTGTTTATTGACAATTACAATAAAAAATAAAGCCGACATTTAAATCCTGCTCGATTAGTGGAAACAGAAATGTTTGGGGGAAAGTCTGTATTAGTTCCACTTCATAACAGAGTAAATAGCAGATTTCAGCCTTCATTTAAAACAAAAGGTAAATCTCATACCCAGAATCCAATGTGTCTCAAAAAATTATTTCCTTGGAAGTATAAATTGGGATGCCGATGAAGTTTCAGAACAAAACGGGTATTTTTATACTTTGTTCATTTCATATTTATCACTAGCTTGTTTGCTAATTTTCATTTGCAAGCGGCAATTCTTCCAGCTAACTGGCTGCCTCAATGGGCCACTGATTTCTTTGAAGTGACAGTCTGTAAATATGCATAAAAAAGAGATGCAATTAGCGTGTGTGTGGTTCAGTGCAGCCTGATTTCATTGGCAAGTTTACCCACAGTGTTGATAAGCTACATTATCTAGAAAATTGGCCGCTGAAAAACAGCACCTCTGATTGCCAGCAAAGGTTCCAGATAACAGGGTGCTGAAGAGAAATATAATTGAGGTTGAATATGTTAACCAAGGTGTCACATGCTCCTTAGAAGCGCTAATTTATCAGCATGTTGGAATTTTTATTAACATTTGGAATGCATTTCTACCACACTAATGAAGTGGAATTGGCAGTTCAGGTTTTAGTTATTGTCATTTCTGAGAAGTTAAATGTAATTTCTCGTTAGACACAGTTATGTAAATATATTTGTTCAGGGGCTGAAAAAAATTATACATTTTGCAAAATACAAATATGTTGTTAAGGAGGAGTATGACAAATCAGTCGCAGTTAAAGTCATAAAAGCCAGCCAAATGTTCACCCTGCATTGTGCTTTCTGGAGCATCACTCATTTTTAGGGCACCTGAAAAAAATGAACTTAGCAGAGTTTTAATAAATGGTGTAGTCACTCATTAATGTAAAAATGGCAAGACAGGTAAATGCAGTGTGATTTGTTGGGATACTGGTTTAAGGGGAATTGCACTGGGTGTGCTGTGCTTATATTTGCCTCTCCTTCTTTATGTGAAAAGGGTCTGGTGCCCGGAAGGGCACTGACTTTTGTTTCCCCCATTTTTTGACGTATGGGAAGTTGGGGTGTTTTCAGTTTCTGGGCTGTACACAAACACACTGGGTGACGTTGTGCTGCAAAGCGGTGAGAAGAAGGTAGGAGGGTGAAAGCTCCCAAGAGCTGTGACAGACCCAGTTCAGGGCACTTTCAGTTCCAATACCATGCTTGTTTTCTATAAAATAATTTAAACTGGTGGTTACAATGAATAACCTGAAATTAAGGGGGTGCTGTTATCAGCTGAGAAGATAGTATGTGTGTACACACTTTAAAGAAAACCTCTAAGCCTGCCTGTTGGTGGTGAAAGGCGATAGGGCAGAAGCGCTCCTGAAGTTTGCCTCACGACCTTCAGCAGAGGCAGAGCAGGTCTGACTTGGGCACCTCCTTTGTGCTATTCCCCGGTTTTCCGTCCGCGTCAACGTCTCAAAAACCTCTAAGTGCTGTCTCTCCTGGGGGAAAACGGGTCCTAAACTCTCGCGGGGTCTGCTCGTTGCAGGGGCATCGTCGACACGCCGCTCATCCGCTCCAAGGACCTGCGGCCGCTGGTGCGGGGCTGGCTGGGGGACATCCCCGCTGGGAGGCTGGCTCAGGCCACCGACCTCCAGGCTGCCGCCGTCTATTTGGCCTCCGAAGCCTCAGACTACATGACAGGCCATAATCTGGTCATCGAGGGTGGCCAGAGCCTGTGGTGAGGGGCGCCCTCTGGCCTCCCCTCTCAGGGGCGTAGGTCACTTTGGCAAGTAAGTATTAGAGTTGAGCTGAGTCCCACATTTGGCCTGTGGAGCTAAGTGGCCAACTAATATGAAATTACTGTTTTCTTCGTTCGGGTGTTGTGTTGGAGACTCGCTTAATGCAAATTAAAAAAAAAAAAAAAAAAAAAGGAGAAAAAAGAAAAAACCCCAATCTTTCATTTTCAACATTTTCATGTTTTTCCACTATGCATACAGATTTCTGTTAAATTAGTATTTAATGATATAAAGACACATTTACTGCAGTGAGATTTGGCTATTATTTACCAGGGGACATTTTTAATGTAATCAATATTAACTGGTCTGTGTAGTATATTGTCCTTAGGTGATGTTTCTGTATCCAAGTTGTTCCAGTGACATCTGTGAGTGGTGAAAACCAGTTGGATGTAGTGTTAAAAAAAATAAATTAGTTCATTGCATTTGAATCTGAATGTTGCCGTTTTATATTTACTGGTGTTCTTAGTTTTTGACAGTGTTTTTATACAAACACCCACATAAATGCCCCTGAAAGAAAAGTACTGCACTTAATAGAGAATCATCGTTGGTAATTATAATGGCTCTAATCCAAAGCCCATTGAGGTAAGTGGGGATTGCTCATATATTTTAAGTTAAATGCATGTACAAGTGTTGATACAACTGGTTCTTTGTTTTCTTTGATAGGCAGATGTAAGCAAAGGTTGTCTTCTAATTTTTTTTTTTTTTTTTTTTTCCTTCTGTAAAATTCTGAAGACAACTCTCCGGTGTAAATCAGGGCCAGCTCAAGTGTTATCAGTACAGTTCTGTTGGCTAAAGAGCTCATTTCAGCAATAGTGCTGGGTTCATTGCTTATAGGCAGTAAAACGTGGCATGGTAACACCACCGTTTTGATAACGCTCTGAATTTATACAGACTTCCATCCCGAGGGCCTTTAAGCATAGCCTAAGGAGAATTTACGGGAAGGAATTCACTTGCAAATCCTCATGTCATTTGTTTTGCATTTGGCAGCTCTTTGTTACCATAACATAAATAATTGTGGATGAATGTCATTACTTTGATTAAGTGCTACAAGTCCATACATTGGCTAGCCATTATTGTGGTGAATTGCTATAATGGCTTCAGACTTGACATTCACCACCACAGTGTAAGGTATGCATCTCGCTGACGTACTATCATCGTTATCGTGGATAAAGTGCAAGAAGATACTTGTCTTCATTAAATTTTCTATTAGACCATTGATAATTAATACATATCTCATGTTTCATCTCCAGCCTTTTTTCTGGGGAGTGTTGGTGTTAAAGCGACTTAGGGCTAGAGCTTTTTGGCTTGAAATCCCTGTCTTGTGTGCATGATCTAATTTATTGACAATGCTCTGAAAACTCACAGACTTAAGGAGAGCTCAATTTTGGATAAATCTTCAAGAAAAACAATTAAGGTTTTAAACGTTTTATTATTTTTCTGGGCTCACAAAAACTTTTCTCTCCTAGCTCCCACACTTGCATCATTTTGTGTCATGCTCTGGAGGCCTTGGTGGAGTTCTCACATCCCTCTGGCTGGCTTTTCACCCAGAGGTTCATGTATAAACATTGGTGAACTCATCAGGAGCTCTTCCAAGGGATCCTAGAGGGGCTTGTATACTTTTGCTCGGACTGCTGGTGAACAGTTTGTTGCAGATCCTACCTAAAGTGTAAAAAAACCCAAACTTCAGCTAATTTGAAACATGAACTGCAGTTGGCACTGGAACTGTAACCAATGTTCCCACTTTTTCAGTAGAAAGATGAAGGACTGAACAGGCTGCTGAGGCTGAACTCCCTTTCCCTGTCTGGAGATGGTTGCAGGTGAGCACCAAAAGGCGCTGGCAGGGCGCTGCAGGAAGCTGAAGTTACATTGCCCTGGTGCCGGGTGTTTTGGGGAAGAAGATTTGCAGCCAGCAAGGGCTGTGCTGTGACTTTCACAAGCTTAAAATTAACTTTAAAAACAAAACCCAGACAGAAAAAAAAGAAAAAAAAAAACCCCAGACTTTAAAAAAGAAAAAAAAAAATAATCAAAATGATGTCTTAACTAAGCAGCCTCCAGTGTTTGGACTAGAGCTTGTCTGGCTCGGATCTGTTTGCCCCCAGGCTCTGCCTTTGAAGGGCTGAGCGGGCAGGGCAGAGAGGAGTGAGTTTACCTGCACGGGCTGATGTGGGGCTTGGACCCTGTTTGGAGACAGGGCAGTGCACCCACGCGAACCCTGGCTCGGCCTCTTGCTGGCCCAGAGAGGCTGGTGGAAGAGGCGTCTCGCCCTGCGGGACTCAGGACCGAGCAGCCCAAGGCAGCATGGCACTTGGTGCAGAGTCCCCGGGAGCCACGGGCGAACACCCCCACGGCACTTTTGGTTTGAATGACATCCTTGCTTTGGCCAAAGAAATGAATCCTGGAGGAGAACAGGTGTGAGGAGGGAAATGCCTCTCCTCACACATGCTTGAACTGGCCTGTCTCCTCCTAAGGCCAGACTCTCACCTCTCTCCTCCACACGCCAGCACCCAGGGCATCCTCCACTCCAGGGCTCCAGCAACAGCACTGGGGTTCTTCATGGTCTACCCTGTAATTTTCTGGGGGGAAAAGGCTGACTTCTACTCAAAGGCAGGGCTGACCGTGCAGTGGTGCTTCTGGCTCATGGGACCAAACTTTGTGTTTGGGTTGGGGTCTGCATCTTGCTGTGTGGGGGCTGCTCCCCGGGCACGGGATCCCACCCTGCCTTGTGCAGCGGTGCTGCAGTCGCGGGGTCTCTTCTGGAAGCACAGCCCTAAAGCAAGGGGAGGTGGCGATTTCCCCTTTGAAGGGAAAAGCAAAGCTCGGGAGGGATGTCAAGGAAAGACTGTCTAAGCACGGAATACCTGAGGATGGAGGAAAAAAAAAAAAAAAAAAAAAAAAAAGGAAATATTTCGGGGGGGAAAGCGTCTTTCTGGGGAATGAGGGCAAAGCTGCGAAATGGCATCATCAGTGTTAATGAGGTGGTTGAGCGGCGCGGAGCAGCGCGGAGCGACCGCGGGCGGAGGCGCCGTTCCCGGCGGTACCTCTAGGAGGAAACCTCAACCTGTGTTGTGTCTGCGGGAGCCGGGCTTCCCGGCTCTGCAACTTTTATATTGGAGCTAAGTTAGTACTTTTGATATTTCTGAGTTTTTTTTTTTTTTTTTTTTTTTTTTTTTTTAAACATTTATGTAGAACACCACATAATTGCAGAAAAGATAATAGTCACATACCCTAGGGCTTGGTGTACACTTATGTTAAAAGTACAGCTTTTATTGGCAACTAAAGTAATAACCTTTCCATGTCAAATTGCTTTAAATTAAACTTAAAAAAAAAATGCTGGCTGATACCCACACTTAGTAATTGTCAAACATTAGCATAATGTGGAATACTAAAGCTGCCTAAATCTTGGGTTTAAAAATAATTATTTACTTAGGTAAATTCTCTATTCAAAAGCATAATATTAGATTTTTTTTTAACAGTCTCCTCAATATATACGTTAAAATGCAGACCTAAGCTTGACACAGGAGTAGGACTGAATGTTACTGTGGCCTCTGAGAGAAAAAGGAGGATTTTATGGTAGCTCATCCACCCATCATCAGTCACCCTGAAAGAAATGTGTTAAGGTGCCACCTGCGAAGGCATAGGTGCTGCGGGTGACATCTGGTGACCCAAGACCATTGACCTGGAATATCTGGTGATTGCAGCCTGTGCTGCAGCCCTGAAGCGCACACATACTGCTTCTCCTGCTGGAAGGCACCTGGGAGATGGATGTCTCCAGTAACTGGGTATGTAAGGCCAGGGGCAGCAGGTTGGTAAAGCGTTTCATGCAGGTGCATTTTACTTATCTGTTTCAGCACGTAACTAGAGCAAATGTGGTGGGAACCATTCAAATTTCCAGTGCGAAGCAGGGGAGGAAGCTGTGCACTGTCAGGTGTGGCTCTTGGGGCTCTTTGCTGCATGCGGAAGAAACCGGACCCATCAGGTGTGTGAGGACCCAAGTCTCATGGGTTTCTGTTTTTTGAGAGGCACAGGGTCCGACATGCCCTGTTGAGGACTTCCATCCCTCTGCTAGGTCTTCCCTGTGGAGTCCACCACAGCACTGAGTCCATCAGTTCTTCCTCAGAAAAACACCAACGTTTTGCTGGAAGTTCAGCAAAACTCATTTTGGAACATTTTCTTAAATCAGTAGTTCCCTTAGGGCAAAAGCTTTTGTGACAAATTCCTGCGCCTTTGGGTAGCAAGATAGAAAGGGATTGCCTTTCCCACTCGTTTAGGGAGCAAGAAGATCTGGGAGGCTCTTGTTGCCTTTCCAGCCAGCCAACAGAGGAACAGAAGGGAGCATTAACACCTGGGAACAAGAGGTTTATGATCTTCAAGAGAGACAGTTAAACAGTTGTTGGGAGGGGAAACGCAGGGAGCTGAGGACTGAAAATTGGATAACTTTCCCAGCCTTGCCTAATACCATATGTGTTTTACACTGTGATTATAAATCTGATTTATATTAATTTCCACACTGTTTTAATTCTTTAGAGCAGGGAAGGAAAATACATGCTCTTCCTTGGAGAACCCCAATGCAGTCTTACAGCATATGCCTTCTCACCAGAACAGGTTGAAATTCTTCAAAACTCTCAAATCACAGGGAGTGTTTGCTGCTAGATTTTCACCTACCCAGTGTCTTTTCTCCATCCAATACATCTTTCCTCTTTCTCTAGAGCTCTCCACTCCCCACCTGTCCTACCTGACCTCTTTCCTCTGCTCTGCTGCCAGTGCAGCTGCTGTCGCCCCATCGCACCAAGGCAAACGGAGAAGAGTGGCAAGGGACCAAGCAGAGTGAGTTGAAAGTACACACGGGTTACCCAGAAATACCTCTCCATACTAAGGCTTGGATTTAGCCTTCATTTACTTGCACCCTAAATGATGCCATTGCAATCCATAAAGCTTCTGGTACCAGTACTTCATCGGTGGTAGGAAACGCAGGAAGACTCTTGTCTGTGGGTAAGTACCAGTAACTCCCACTTCATCCCTTCCCAATTGATTATGTGAATATCTTCTTGAATCCAGGGGTGGCCTGAAAATGTATCCAAGCATAAGGGAAGGCTGTAAATCCAATTCCCCTTTTGTTAAAGTCCTTTCCCAAACTGGAGCTTGATGAGGACTAATTCAGCCCTAGCTGGCCTCCCCTGGAGATGTCCTTCGGGACATAACCCCACACTGCAGCTGCAAGTGCTTTCTGCCATGCTCTATTTGCTCCCCTTTCACCAGCATAGCATGCTGTGTACAGACGCAGTTTGTGTCTTTAGGAAGCCTCATTAATTCACAAGATACATATTCTTTTGCTTGACAGTTTGTAACAGCTTCTTAAATGTGTAAACTCTGCATTTTCAGATTTGTATTAAAATACCAAGAAATAGATTTATGTTTCCATAGGCTACTT